CCAATAATTTTTTTTTTTTTTATCTTCTTCTCAACACCATAATCATCGAGCCGTAAGACCATGTGAGACAGTATATCAGCAGAGGAAGAACATTAAGAACAATACTAGAGGTTCAACAATACCAGTGTCCATAGATAAAGCAGTTGCTCATTCAAAACTTGATAGGTCAATTTATATACAGCCTCGACTGACTACAAGAAAGGTCGTGGCTTGATATCCCATGGATTTGGGAATGTTTAGCTCTAAATAAGCCAACACAATATGGAACATAATATCGAGAATACAATATGGAAAATGACACTTGAAATTAACTCAAAATACAAGTGACTATCAAGTAAGGCATATATCAAGGCAATCTGAAAAGAAGACGGGTGAGGATTGTCAAAGGCATTCAAACAGGAAACAAATTATCAAGATGGCAAAGGATGAGTTGCTGAGAGAATGCCCGTTAGAGAAGGACTATGTAAAAGAAGCAACATGGCAAAGCGAGACTCTCAATGAGATACACCATCGATAAATAGCTGAGGTGGCCAACAATCTTACAATCTTACTAGTGGTTGGAAAAAGCTGGGCTAAAAGACATTGGTCGCAGCATATAAGGTACAGGTACCGAGCATCAGATTTATCGAAGCAGGGATATCATACACTGCCACATCAGATAAGAATCAAGGCACAGAATGTGTAAAAAACCTCAGAAATTGTCCAGGATATAGTAGCAGGATGTAAGATATAAAGTAACATATGTTGAAGGCCATAACTAAGTATGCAGTTGGTACTGCCTACACGAATATATGGTTTAGATCCTAAGACCAAATGGGAAATCCTCAGAAAATCGTAGAGAACAACACCTCATAAAGACAGGCAAGCAATTTTGGCCAATCAAATAGTTGTCGCAGGAGTATAGGAGAACCAGAAGTCAACATTAGTTATTAGATATAACAATACCAAGTGACAGGAATATCAGGAAGAATATGAAAAGCTAGAGAAATACAACCTGAAAGACGAACTGGAGAAAAATATAGAAAGTGAAGGCCAAAGTAACTGAAATATTACAGTATCTTCAATAGATTGCAGGAATAAAAGATCTCCACCCAGAAGAGCAAGCCGAGATACTGCACAAAACCCTGATGGCTCCTACGAGGCAGTTCAGGATGATCGCACCATTCACAGAAGGTGAGGAAGTGATTTTTTCCATATAATTAATGAAAATTAAGGATACAACCAGCAAACAAGCGAAATGGCATGCATGTAGATTAAATTATTATAAAATTTTCATTTTATTAAATTATTGTAAATTACGAATTAGATTCAGTGAATTAGTGAGTTTTCTCTTTTTTATTAAAATACTGACTGCTAAAAAAAATTAAACGTTACTAAAAAAATTGCTAATATATTACTTGCGCGGAAAAAATAAGTAAAGTGAATTGAATATCTAAATAGAAAAATAAATAAATAAAAATAAAATAGCTAAGACGGATTATATGGCATTTATTCCATTCGCTTCCATAAATAAAAGTTGGATGGTAATGGAAAGATCGAATTCTGTTAAGGTGAAATTTAGAATGTGATTTTTGCTGGGGATAAGAGAATGAATGAGAATGAAGAGGATGAGAGAAATCAACGTTGGAATTTGGCTATTATCACGATTAGAAATTTTTATCAGAGGAGTTACCTGGCGACGGAATAGTCAGCGATGGTAGCCAGCAGTACCTGGATTTTAATGACACGCTTACTCCTATAAACAGAAAAAGATCCAAAAAAAGAATCCTCATTCAACATGACATGACGAGCTGAATTACTCGCTTCGTCGTGCCACGTTAGAAAATGTGTTTCATCCATAAAATTGCAAATAACATCGAAAAAAATTTCTCGAATGAGTTGATTTATAGAAATGTTTTATAATAAGAAAAATGAAATGAAAGTATTAGATATAAATTCATTTTTTCCTTTATTTTTTGCTTTAAATTTTATTTAAAACTTCGAAACTTGAAAAACTTGAACGAAGGAAATTTCTCCGTTATTTTCCTTCTTCATTTCTCAAATTTCTATCATTTTTGAATAACTTTTGATGAAATATTAGTAATAATATATTAATTACATTATTAACACAAAATGGATAATTATTACAAAGATTATTAGAAAGTCTTTACAACAATTTTTTGAAGCTAGTTTGAATTTTCTTCATAATTTTCCAAGATGTTTTTCAAAGCGATTAAAATTTTCATATGGTTGAACGGTATATTATTTCGTCGATGAAGTTTGAGCTATCATAAGTTCGACCCATGTTCCACGACGATGGCATTTACCATTACCATTAAATCGTAATTCGAGTGGCGCTAGGAACTCTGAACTTCTACCGCTAGGTAATGAAAAGGATTCTTTTAAAAAAATTAAAAAGTTATATTAATCTCTGGATTAATTTACTAATTGGATGGACCTTACTATTTTTGATTAGATTAGCTCCACTAGCTATTAATAAATTCTAGATTTTTGCCAGAGAATTATCTGGCAGTGGAAATGCAGGTGAATCGACAGCAACACTTGGATTCAATGACTTTATTGGAGGCAAAAAATCGAATATTTTGGTAAATTCTAAGACAGTTTGGTTTTAAATAATACCTTGAAATCCTATTCATTTTCTATTACTTTAATGACAAATATATTTTTGAAAAATATTTATCCTTTATTTTAAAAGTCTTTATATGCTCCTGGAGCAGTTATTCAACTTTACTCTCAAACTTTATTCATAAATAGACTAACTGCATAAAACCAATAAAAACTTAATGATAAGTATATTCAAAATATTTTACAAGTTTATTCCAAAAATAAACTGTTTTGCGAAATTGATAAAAGATTTAAAACACTGGGAAAGAAAACCGGAACCGCTTTTTAAAATTAAGCAATAAAATGAAAAACTTTTCTAAAAAACCAAAAAGTTTTGTTATTATCGCCAAAAATATTAATCAGCAAGGTTTTTGGATAAAACATTGAAATAATTCCAAATTTTAAAATATACTGAAAATATATTGTATTGTATTGAAATTGGTTATTAACTTTTCATTCATTACATCAGCTTCTTTTATCATAGAAAATTACAATAAAAATTTTTTTATTTCTCTTCTCTTCATAATAAGAAATGAGAAAATTCATAAAATACCGTTTATTGCTGATAGAAGGAATCGAAACTAAGGAAAAACATGAAAATATTGCTCTTTACAAAATAATGCTAAATGCTATTCTCTTTTATGATTTTATAAATGAAAACAAAAAAACTTTTTGATGGAATATAAATTATTTAATGAATAAATCTTTTGAAAAATGGATTTTTTAAAATTTTAATTCGAAATTTAAATTTTAAAAGGGAAATAATACAAATAATAATACAATAAAATATTCACTGAAAACAGCCATTGTAAATAATTTAGTGTCATCAATCACATTTTTTCGTCATCTACCGCGCATAGTGGATTGAGTGGCACAAATGGCAAGAAGGATATCTTAAAAGGGATAAAGGGGATCTCAAAGGCGATCGCTCTTAGGCCAGAGATGGTATCATTAAAGCAAAGTGCCCAACTGACTCAACGAATTACTGAATAAGGATTTCGCAAAACCGCATGGACCATCCACTCAACCCACATCATTCATTATTATATCACAACTACTGCAAAGAATGGAGATTTTTAAAAATTTTTAGAAAGAAAGACATAGATGATTATGGTAGAAATAATAATATCTCCTCAACATAGCAGAAAGCTTTTTGGGTTAGAAATAAATATTAAATAGGCCTAAGCAAAAGCAATTTGAGAAAATGCTGCCAAAAAACTCCTAGCGTTAAGCATCAAGGGTAGATTACAGAAAAATTTGTACAATAAAAAAATATAACTGAAATATACATTATATATAAATTATGCATTTTTTTTTCGAAATTATACAATACAAACCTTTAAATTATTTTCATTTCGAAATAATGACGATCTACTCCTTCGCATATCATTGATTTCATCTTTGTACCGATCAAACATACCGTAAGGCAAAGCGAATTTTTCTTTATCTGAAAATTTGCTATTTCAGTATAATTTAACCTCAACAAAATTCGACGTAGTAAACAACAGAATTTCCATGAAAACTCGATGAGATATCAACGGGACGATAGTGAAAGCCCAGCCTCGTATTTCTACCATCAAGCGTTTCTCTGACAAAGGGATTCATTCTTAATATTCAGTGAAACAAGCCAGAAATGATGACGTTATTCGAAAATATTATGGACAGAATAATTTTATGAAAATTATGGACATAATTTTATGAAAATTTGACTTTCGAATTGTTGTCATTAAACATATTTCGATTCTTATCGAATTGATGATCTAATTGTTTGGAGCAGCCGAAGCTGTTGTTCGATTCCCCGCAGGAGTGAACCTGTGCAAAAATCCGAGTGATGCTGGCGACTCACCTGTATTTCTATGTTTATTCACTATTAAGAACAAAATAAATATAGTCATCATCAATATTAGTAATTTTACCATAGTCATCATCAATATTAGTAATTTTAATAGGTTTTCTTTCGCGATACCAATCTGGCACATGAAGTTTTTCAGTGGATTTTATGAATCGAATCTCATGCTCAGAGACTTTCGAAATTTTATCGTTAAATTTCTGTAAAGCATTTTCCGGCGGTGCTGATTCTTCACGCTTTCTGAAAAAAGCTTTTAAGTATAAATAAGCTTACATTTCTTGTTCGCTCCGCTGACTATTAAATACGATTAGAAATTTCTGATATGAGCCACTTAGTGATAGAATAGGATAAGACCGAATAGGATCATCATTTTAATGACCATTTCATCATAATCCTTATCTCTCCTTGTCTTTGAATCACTAACCGCTCGGCTATCCTGCCTCAATTTCTTAACAATTATGAATTTTTCTTTACCAAATCTCTCCCATCCAATCCTTCTCATTTCTCTATTATTAAATCGCTAGTGGATAACGTTTAAAAAAGAAAATTAAAATATTTCCATTTTTTCAATCCTTAATTTATTTAAAGATAAAATTTGACGATAAAAAATTTCAGGCATGAAATACTTTTTATCCATTAAATAATCGGCACTTTTCGATCGAATATGTGAATTATTATCAGATGCAATATCCCGACGACTTTGTCGATTATGATCCATAACTGAACGTGAACGATGAACATCGTCCAAATTTGTTTCTTCAAGCTAAATAAATCTTTTCATTAAGATTGGACTTGATTGTTACTTAAATCCATAAAAACTAAAAAAATAAGAAAAAAATTAAAAAAATCAAAATTAAATTAAGCAATATATTCTATAAAACTTTGTTTATAACAAATATTGAAGGAATTGAAGATTTATTGAAGGAATTAAGGATCAATTTATTTAAAATTGAAAAATAAACTAAAATTATTTATTGTTTTTCTACATATTTAAACCAAAATTATTTATTTATGTGAGCGACAAAATTTAAAAAAATTGATCTTTAATGTATTTAAATTTGAAGTTTTAAGTTTACAAATTTTAGAATTTTTCAAATTTCTAAAATAATTTATAGAATAAATAGAAAATATTTATTTGTTCCAAAAAACGCAACAATAAATTTAATCAAAATTGTAAAAAAAGAAAGCGGAAAGAAGCGAAAGCTAAGGAAAAATAAAGCTGAAAGACGATTCAATAAATAAATTTCAAATTAAAAATTTTAAAATTTTAATTTTATTTAAAAAATTTTAAAACTTAAATTTTACAAAAATTTTCCAATTTAAATTTTATTCTTTGCCAAAAACCTTGAAAAAAAAGAAGTAACTTTCGTAAAGTTTTTTCGACCTTTTGCGAAATTTTATTAACCATGAATTTACACATTTCAAATTGCTTTACGAAATTTAATGCCAAATAAAAATAACCTGACGTTCAACACAAACAATATCACCAAAACCAGTATCAAGATTGGTTTCTAAATAAGAAGTAGACCAAGTACGATTACGACTATATAAGTTTGGTTGTGATAATCGTTTCTTTTGGTAATCAGCCAAATTACTTTGTATTTTATCCATTAATTCTTCATATTCCTGTCATCATATTTAAAAAAGAAGAGGGAAAATAGAGCAATAAAGCTTAAAAAGCAAGGAAAATAATAAGCAAAATTTAACGAAATAAGGAAATGGCCAATGATTATCAACGCAAGCAAATATACAGAAATTGTCGAATGGTTTGTTGCTTCAGCTTAAGCATTATGAGCATTTTTATTTTCCATTTGTAAATTTGTAAATTTACAAAAATTCATGAATTCGAATGATGAAAGTACATGCGCTATTAAAAGTGAAAACTTCGTTGTTGCTACCGACTTTCATTTTCCAAATTCCAAATGACTCTCTGATATCTCATAAACCTTGGTGCCATGCCAGGTAAACCAAAAGTGTAAGCCTTGTTGGAAGAAACGGTGGCAAGAGCTCTTCATTTCTCGTTAGTTGGCTCTGCTGGATGTTAGTACAGTTAAAAATTTTTTTAGAGAGTTATTTGGAATGTTATTTAAATGAAAGTGAGTAGCTAGCACCACGCGGATTTTTTAATAGTAAATTTATTCCAGATACAGGAGATAGAAGCGGAAACCCTCCCTCTGAACACGCTTATTTGTCCACTCAGCTTTCCTGCCCACACTATAATGAGTACAATCGTCTTGCAAGGTATAAAATCATATGCTATACTCATATACTTACTTTAAAAATTTCTTTTGTTTCATTTTTCATAGTGAAAAAATAAAAACATACCAAAGCTCATAGCTAACATAGTTCATCCCTGTGCTCAAAATATAAACTTAAAATTTCTGTCGGTAATCGAAAATGAAAATGGTGAAAATGGTGAAGTGGTTTACGAGAAGTATTTAAAAAATACTTTATTATATGGACTTGGCCCAACGCTGCCGTATGGTGAATAGTTCATCGCTTTTTTAGCACCAATATCAGCAGCAGCACCACCACTGCTTGTGCTATTATAACGTTGTAAGTACTGAGATGGATAATGAAGCTGTGATCTAGTACGATGAAGATCACTTAAAGTATCTTGAAATCTTTCATTGATTCCGTCTAAAAAAAAGTAAAATCCTTCATTATCTGATTCCATATTTATAATGAAAAACGATAATTCAATATAAAATGAAAAGAATACCAGGTGTATTAGTAGAATGACTGAAAAAAAAATCCTTCTTGGCTCTATCCACCTTTGATTTGTATCGGCTGCTTGGCATTTTGCGTGCAATATTATCACCGTTGCCAGTACTAAGTTCTGATATTTCCTTATATGGTAATACTGCAGCTGCTGGTGATGGTGTTGACCTGGTAAATTAACACCTCTTCAATTACCAACTTACTACTTTAAGGAAAATAACCCATTTTCCAAAGAAATTAACCACATTCCACTCCTTACTATTTATAAAAGAAGAAGATTTTTAACCATATTTTTATTTTCCATTTGTAAATTTACAAAAATAATTTCATGAATTCCTAAATAATTTTTACGTGTACAGTGAAAAAAATTTTAATACTTTCGCAAATGCTTGGCACTGTACTTTGAAGCACTTGTAAAATATCAATATTTTTGAAGAACTTTAATAAAGAATTCGAGGAAATTCAAAAAAATCTTGTAATATTCAATATTTGTTCGCAGACAAAAATTTTTCGAAGGGCAAATTTTAACTTGTTAATTAATTGTTACTAAATTTTCTAAGGACAAAATATTTTGTGATATCATAAATATTATTATTATTTCTAGCAAAATTTGAAAAGTATATTTTAGAAATTCGATTAATTATGAATAACATTAAAACGTAAGGGACATCAGAGCCGTGTGATATGTTGATCCGACTAATTTCGGGATAGTAAGTTCGCTTCTTAATTTTTGAAGAGAACAGACTTGTTATAAAAAGTCCGAGTGGAGCTGACAATCCAGCAGTTCTTCTCTAGCAAAAGGGTCCCACCTTATTAGTAAATGGGCAAATGCAGAAACAGTGAGTGATCAAGGAAGATGAAAAAGAATATTGCAGGATGTTACAGATAAATTTTCATGGGAAATATTTGAGAATAAAAAAACAATTTTATGAAAAAGAGAAAAATAATTGTAATGATGTATTCTGCGACAACTATAAAAATATTTTTTATTGAAATTTTCTATACAAAAAATGAAATAAAAAATGAAATACAATAAAAATGGCAAAATAAATGCGGAAGCCCTTTACGAGTAAAATTTTTTCATCGCAGAATACAAAAAATAATTAATTTAATCACTAAAAAATCCCTTGAAAATATTTAAAATTTTCAGAAGATAAGCAACATTTTTTCAAAAATTCTGAGAATAATTACAAAAGAAATGGGGAAAAAATAATCATCAAATAGCAAATAATAAAGATTATAGCAAAAATGATGAAATGAATTTTAAAAATAGTAATAAAACAAAAAGTAGTAGAACTCATAAAAATAAAATAAAAGGAAAGGAAAAGATTGAAAAAGTGATCACTGGTAAATACTGGAAATAAAGCGGCGCAAATTCCAGTTACCTCCTTTCCTTCTTTATTTATTTACTTTAACGAAATGACTGAACAAATATGGCAAATTGTCTTTAAAATATGTTAATAATAAGGCACTCGAGAGCGGCACAAACACACACAAACAAGCATTAAGAGGAAGGCAATAGGCATTTCACTTACATTTATGTTAAATAGCTTATTAAATAATTTTCATAAAAAAGTAAAAAAAATTACCTTGTATCATCGATCATCCAACATTTTTTATCAACTCGTTCAATAATTTGTCGCTCAATTTTTGTAACTTCGTCATTAATGCTTGGTGTATACAAATTTTCTCTCGAATAATATGGCAGTTTAATTAGTTTTTCAAGAGTTTCTTTTGATGTTAAACTATTTTTTCGACTATAATCCTCCAATAATTTTCTTTTTGCCATTTCTAATTTATCTTTTTCTTCGATTTCTTTTGCTATAAAATTTAATTTGTCACGACTACGACGATCCTCTTCCGCACGTTTACGTTCACGTTCTAATGCTTCACGTCTCTCTCGCTCTCTTTTCTCGCAATTTTTCCGCTCATTTTCGCGTAATTCCATTAATTTTCGCTTTTCTTCCATTCTGAAATTATTTATAAATAAGATGTTCGAAAAATTTACATTAGATGAATAATTTACATTATTTCTTAAATAATATTAATTCGATGATCATGCTTTCCAATGCTTTTTTGTTATTTCCTTATTGTCAACAGAAATCTCATTATTACTAATTATTGCTATTTATTATTTCCATTTATTATTATTTATTATTTTTTATTCATTATACATCATTTACTATTTTCATCATTAATCAATTTTATTAAAAATTTTGAATACATTAATATCATGCCTACCATTATTACTGTTCACTTATTCACTCCAAAACTGAACCAAACAGCCATATGCTGGTGTTATAGAAATGAAAAACAAAAAACAGCCATTATCATCACTATTATTTCTTTTCTCAGTATAGAAGAAAACGATAGATGCTAAGATACGAAAGCTAAAGTGATAACAAAGAGATTTTATAAATTTCATATAGCAGCAATCAAGGATATACGACACAAATTTATAACTTTCACCAAGTGTCATAATAAAAGCATCACCCAGAATAAACCTAAATTTCAACTTAACCACAGATCCACTATATAAACATTCCACACAGAATATATTTAACAATATAGGTTGGCGGAAACATTGCAACTATTTTTGTTAATGGTTATATACTTATTTAATATAACAAATGGTGCTGCAATAGAAAAATTACATTCAGATCTCTGATACAAAAGGTCGTCGTCGTACGCGACTATATAAATCCAAAATGTGAATAAAACCTGAATAGCAATTAAGACTGAAAATGAATTCCCCAATTCCCTCTTAAAGGAAAGAGAACTACTCGTTAATCATTTTGGTTGCCGCAAATTTCCCATTTCAATTCTTCAGAGGTCACTGCGAAAAAGGTCGAATCAATATTGGAAAACTACCTAATAGCACAGCGATAAAGGAAAGTTGTATGAAAATACGGACGAAATATGCTAAATGCAAATCAACATTCTCTCGACATTTATTCTTAATTCACATTCACTTCGAAATAACCACCCATTAAGGAACCAGCGTACCGCACTATCTATTTCAGTGATGCTCAATCCTTTTGTCCTATGCGTCCTACCACTCACTATATGTCAAAACAAAACTTCCGCCGCGGTAGCATGTCTACCGATCGGAAAAGATGCTTAAAGGACGGTACGTGCTCGCAACCCTTTATCCACTTCTTCCTTGAGATCCTACCTTGAAATTCCCCTAGATGAAGGAATTCCCCACCAGCTGAGACTCTCCCGACATTTATTACGATTATTTCCTTTCCCAACTATTATGATAATTATTGCATTTATTATGATATTATTATCGTTATTATCATTAATATCAACATTACTGTAATTTCAATGAAAGTGCAAAAAAAGAACCTTTCAAAATCTCGTCGTTCGTTTTCACGACGTTCTATTTCCTTCAACTCCAATACTTTACGTTCAAGTGCTAAACGTTGTTCGTTTCGTTCCATCTCAGCTAATCTTTCCGCTCTTCTTTAATTCGTTTTTTAATTTCATAAAGAAAATTTGCAGAAAGATTTTTTGCAGTTAACTAGCAAAATAATATAATAAAATCTAACTTTCCAAAAAAATATTTTATCGCCAATGGAGAAAGTAAGATTTCAAATAATTCAAGGCTACAGGAGATGGATATGTTCGCAAGTCAGCAAATTGATGGAACGGACCAGGTCGCCTGGTTAACAGGCATAATATTTGCCATTAAAAGGGGCCAGGTCTAGAATTTTTCCCTCCTTTTTTTCATCTTTTTTCTTATTCTAAGAGCCACTGAAATTAAAATTTGAAGAAAGAAAAATGGACCTTTCATGAGCTGCACGTTCAATCTGTGACAATTTTTCTTTTTCCAGTTCTTCCTCTAATTGACGTTCACGTTCACGCCTTAGTGCTTCTTTACGTTCCCAGTTACGCTTTTCCGCTTCACGTCTTTCTTCTTCTTGTCGTAATTTCTCCTTTAATTCATCTTCTAATCGTTCTTTTTCCCTTTTTTCAGCAGCTCTACGTTGCGCATCGAGTAATTCGAGTTCACGACGTTCTTCCTCCTGAATAATCTTATTAATTAAATTAAAATTATTCATCATTTTTGGCGCAAAAATTTAAACGGTAGCACAGACCAGGAATCTTTTAAAGAATTTGAAAATATTTTATGTTTTAATGACTGTTGACATTTTATGTTTTAATGACATTTCTATAGGTCGATAATTATACAAGTCACCTTCATGAGGTCATATCATATTTGGCCACTGATGAATTATTGATAAGATCAAGATCTTTTCTATTTTTTTTGCTCATTACACATCGCTCATTTTTAGCATATTCTGCATACCATAGAGGTATAAAGCAAAAAGTTAGAAATTTGATTACAAGACGTTGCTGTTCCCTTCGCTCAAACTCGCGCTTTTCTATTTCCAGCCTTTCCTGTTCCTTTCGTACATTTTCAAGTCGTTCCTTCTCCAGCATTTCATGAAGTCGCCGTTGACTCTCTCTCTCATCTGCTTTTCGCTTCATTTCGGCAATTAGTTCGGCTTCTCTAAAAGTGAATACATTTTATAAAATAAAATTTTTTTTAAATTTTTCTTATTATTTTTTGGAACTCCTGGATTTATAATTTAGGGAAAAAAACCTCCTTTCTTCTTCTCTTCGTTGTGCTTCACGATTTTGTTCGTGTAAACGTTCAGCTTGACGTAATTGATCTTCACGTCGTTGTGCTTCAATCAATTCCTGTTCTATTCGTCGTAAGTCTTCTTTCTCCTTCATTAATCTTTCTCGTTCTAATCGCTCCTTTTCGCGACGTTCTTCTTCTTCATGTTCCTTTTCTCTTTCAATTTGTTCGCGTTCTTGCCGTTCACGTTTTATTCGTTCGATTCTTTCAATTTCCATTCGTTCCATTTCGATACGTTCTCTTTCAACTCGTTCTCGTTCAGCTTTTTCACGTTCCACTCTCTCTTTTTCCCTCATTTCTCTTTCTTTTTCTAATCTTTCACGCTCGATACGTTCTCGTTCTCTTCTTTCTTCGTCCTCTCTAGAAAATTGGGTTTAAAAATTGGGTTAAAATTGAACGTTTATCCCACTTACCCGCTTCACAATTCCCTTGAAAAATTAGGGTTAGGGTAGGATTAGTTTATCCGAGTACTGCACTGCTTGGATTATTTGGATTTTAAGTACTACATTTGCTCTCTATCCTTGCTAGAAGCAAATCTATCATGCCACCAGTGGAACCAAACTAGCTGGAAACAGTGCGTGTTAACCATTCACTAGTAATTAGCAAGAGCAGTCCTAAAGCATTCCTATGATTTTTCATTACTTTTAGTATTTAGTATTTATTTTAGTATTTAGTATTTATTTAATTCTTTTCACAGCTGATAACGATAACGAAAGAAATTTTAACCGTAAACGGCGAAGTCTTTCCCTTTCCGAATTTCTTTTCTTTTCTAATTCCATTTCTTCGCATTTTCTTCTTTCTTTTTCCAATTTTTCCCATTCTTCTCTTCTGCTCATTTCCAGTTTTTCTCGTTCACTTCTATCTCTATCAATTCTTTCTTTTTCAAATCGTTCTCTCTCCATTATATCATATTCCAATTCTCGTTGCTAAATAAATTTCTATGAATGGATGAAAAAAATACGCGAAAACACGCCCCCTGTGTGCTTGATACATAAGTGCAAGTCTGCCCCCCTATGTTCTTTATTACACAATTGTAAAAATTAACTTTTTTATCGCGTTCTGCTCGCACTTTCTCTAAAAATTCCTTCTGTTTCATTTCCCATAAATATTTTTCTTCTTCAATTCTTCTTCTCCTTTCCTCTTCTTCGAGTTCCCTTCTTTCTTGGTTTTCTTTGATCCTTCGTTCTTCCTCCTCTATATTCCTCAAATATTTAACATTATAATCAACAAAACGTTGATCTTTTGGCTGATAATAATGGAAATCGATGGGTGATGATCTGGACAATGGTCCTGTTTGTTGTGTTTGTGGTAATGATGATAAGGTTTCAGTCGATTTTGTGATATATGTTCTTGTCATAATTTCTTTTCGATAATACTGCTCTTCATGATAATCATGATTATCACTCCATGGTGTTGAATTATAATCATATGTTGTTGACGTTGACGAAAAAGCAGGTAAACTTTGCTGTTGTTGTTGCTGCTGCCGTTGAGAGGATGTCGACGATAAAGAGGTTCGTTGAACTGGTATTTCACGAACTGTTGATCGTGACCGAATATCTTAAATTTTTTTATTCGTTTATATTTAAAGTTCCGTGGTTTCTCATTATATATCTATAAAAATTGTAAATACACACGTTTAGATATAAATTTATACTTTTATTTATAAAATCTTTTAAATGGTAAATGAAACTAAACAAATAGAGTTTTAGGCCCTTTTTTTCTCTATATGATACTAAATTTGAGGAAGAAAATGAATCAAAATTAATGAAATGAATTTAATAGCCATATGTTGCACGGTAAATCTGCTAAACATACGATACTAAGCGTGTACTTCTATAATAAAACTTTACCCCCCACCGAAGTAGTCCGTCCTATCCTAATGGTTGGCAGATCCGGCTAAACCAGAAATATTCATTGCTTAAAGAGTGTGAAAAGAATTAGAAAATACCCGAATGATTATCGAAATCTTCTTTCAGTGTCATATCACTTTTATTACTCTTATCAAAGGCCAGCGAATTCGAAATATCACTCTGAAATAACAATTTCAACAATTTTTATTTTATTTCACTAAATTTCAAATTAAATTTTTAAATAAAACTTTGATATTTTATTAATTTATAATTTTCAATCATAAATTTTCGTAATTTTCTATTTTCTAAAAACAAAAAAATAAAAGTTACAACATACGCCGCCAGTTCATTACCATAAAAGTTTTTATATTAAATTATTATAACAGCAATGAAACTGCAAATTCAGTTGAATTCAAATTTCAGTACATATCATAAATTGGTTTGAAATGTATGAAAGAAATATTAGCACGACATATTTATAGAAAAAGAGAATAATAAAACTACAAACTAAAAGGTGGGTGAAGAGGAAAACAGTTCAACCAGTTTTGCTTGCCATTATCTCCTCTCTTCAACGTTACTATAAAGCTACTTTTTTGTTTACACTTAGTATATTTTTAGCAAATAGTCCTGTAAATTTGCAATAAATTTGCACAGTTATTTCTATTTAAATTTAAGTTTGTCCAAAATTTAAAGAATATAAACTTATGAATTCAGAATTTAGAAAAAAATTTAATAGAAAAAGGATTAATGGATTAAAGAATAAATACCTTCAAAAAATAAAAGAAATTCGCATTCTTCTCTCTTTGATGGTTGAAATATTTTTTTAATATTTAATATTTTAATATTTTTTTAAAAAAATTTTCTTTTTTATGATTTTCTTCATTTGTTTGGTCCCTTTTGCAAAAAATATGGTGGGTCATTCTTTTATTTCTTTGAGCAACTCTAACTGGCTAGGCTCCTACAAGGCTAAGCCTACTCGGACCGATGCCATTTTTGATAATAATAGAAGCCACTCCTTTTCCCATCATCTAAGTCCATATATCGCTGGTCTCCCAGTAGTTTTTTGACTCTCCTCGCTTTTGACGCCATTCATCACAAAGTTTAGCAAGTAACGAAATATGTGTCAAGTACTCTTGTGGTGGGCGAAGAAGAATATGCTCTAAGCAGCGAAGGTGACGCTTGATGGTACTCTTAATGCGAATGATGCAACCATGTGAGATTTCATCCTCTCGTAAAATTACCTTAGACTTGAGTGGCCAAAGGCAAATCTCTTAATATCTTCCACTCTCATCGGCCATGTCTCGCCGTCATATAACAAGATCGAGTAAATTGCAGTCATGTAAATGTGGTTTTTTGTTCTGGATGATGACCTTGGAATGGTAGGTAGTTCGTATCATATAATTTCCTCTTTTGCTTTGGGATAAGAGTGCCACCCGGTGAATTGGATAAGGAATACTTTAATTATTAAACCATTCTTCAACTTATTAAATTTATTAAATTAAATTTCAGAAAATTTAATTGTTTAATTATTAACAAAAAATTATTCAAATTATTTAATTTCAATAATAAACCAAAATTTATTCAAAAAATTTTAATACCTCGAGATGCACAACACTCTTTATAATTTCAAATTTATTATCTTTTTATCTTTTATCATATATTTAAATTTTAATTTTAATACTTGGAACGAATTAGCGCTAATACTTCAATAATTTTACATTTTAAAAAAAAAGAAATATATTTATAAATATAAAGAAAAGACGATTAGAAAAAATACTAATCAAATATTTGAAAAAAAAAATTTTGATGAACAAAATAACCCTTAATCCTTTTTTTAAAATCATTCGTTATGAACCCTCATTTTTTGAGAAAATTTTCAATTTTTCTATAAATGGAAAAATCTTAAAAAGGTTTTTCCAAAAGGAATCATTTATTCATACGAATTACCTACCATTCCAAGGTCACCATCGCCAGCCGTCGTTTATTACATATATTTTGCACGCAAAGCAAATTTAAAAAATCGATCGACGCTATCATATTGCCTATGCAGCAAAATGTGACCCCGATAAGTACACAAGTCCAAAGGATCAAAAATATTCATTTCGTCAGAATTCATTTTTCAAAATTAGCTGTTAATTTCTCAATAAAAAACGTCAATTCAAATCATATTTTTGATAAAAACTATCGAGAAAAAAGGTAGAAATAAAAATTTTACTGAGTATCCTTTGGACGCTGAAAGGTGAGAATAAAGGTTAAATAAATAACGAGACGCCTACCTTATAAAAAGTAGCTGGAGGCGGAGGTGGTGGTTCCAACGGCGGACTTGATGCTGACATGCCTAAAACTTTTATTTTATCAATTAATAAATGATCAAATAAATTAACCTTGAAAATGAAAATTTTTTCCGAGACTTAGTAGGACTGTTGGTTTCATTTCGGAACGCCGATGCTAAGGCTTTGCTTCCAGCAGAAGTAAACTCATTTTTTCAAAAATCTTGGTCACATTGCTGATACACTTCTATCGCCATGCGACCCATTGACAAAATTTTTTCTGATCTAATACGCCAGAACAGCGAGTTTAGCCACAAATAATAAACCAGCTTATAAAAATTTAATTTTTTTGAACTGATAAATACAAATATTCAAATAATTCCAAATGATTCCTGAGAGATGCACAACACTTTATAATTTCAAATTTATTATCTTTTTATCTTTTATCATATATTTATTGATCGCACCGAAGTCAAAACCAGCTTTGGCATTGGTAATTCCAGCATTAGCAACAACAATTTACTGGAAGAAATGATAAGAATCTGATAAAATGGATGGAATAATTCTAAGGAAACTGACAAGCAAATAAAATGATTGAAGCCTTAAAATATAAATATAATCAAATGAAGAATTTATCTATTTCATTTATTGTACGTAGGCATTATTCATGTCAAATTCATTTCAATAAAATTTATCGCCACACCTTTCAAATAAAAATTTCTCTTTATCTCTCATAAGAAATCATAGAAATTCCTGAAATTTTTCCCAAAATGATTCTTTTCCTTTTACTTACTTTATTAATAAAAAATAATTTTGCAAAATCTAATTAAGATTTTAAAACAAAAATAAATAAAACAAACGAGTATTTGTTGTAATCGTTGTCGGGGCAACGAACGTTATTCGATCATTTTTATTGTTCATTGCATTTCGAAGACTTTAAAAATAATTTCAAATTTAAATTAAATTAAAATTTAAAAATTCCAGAAAAGAAAGACAAAAATGATAAGCTGATAAGGAAGTTGATGAATGGAATAACCCAGCATTCGCTATCTAGATTTGCTGGTTACGCTCTAGGTAATGAGGGGCCTCTTGTTTTTTTATCCTGAAATCCCCAGCTCTCTGGCAAATTTTCTCAACATACCAATAACCAATGAAATGATCCTAAGAAACGGTGAACCACTTAGTGGTAATAAATGAATTAAAAATGTGATCTTTTAGCAGAAACAGCTTTTTAAAGATAAAAGCCACTATTATTAAGAAGATGAATATCAAAATTAATATTGACGATTAGTATTAATGGACCAAATAGCCTAAAGAATTTAAAGAATTATTAAACAAGGATTATGCTAAATTATTAAGAGGGTTAGAATGGTTCAATTTATTGCTCTCATTTCGAAGCAAAATTTGATTTTTATAAATCTGAGTGGTGCTAGCAATCTACCTGCATTTCTATCGCCAAGTGAATAATTGACGAAATCTGCCTCGACAAGTCAGTGGAACAAACTTAATTAGAAATGAGCCCCTTAGAAAAAAATTAATGTGATGATAGGGCTGTTTATAATTGACTGATAACTGACCTCTCAACAAACTGCTATTAAATATTCTATTTAAACAAAAAACTAAAAAGATGGAATAATGAGGAGATAATAGCTGATAAGAGGAACGAGGGAACATTCTCTTAAAATTATTTAAAAAGTAATTGCCCCAATCTCCCACTCTTCCTTTCATTTCCCCTTCTTCCCTTCAGTGCAACTATGCAATAAACCTACTTTCCCAGTATATATTTTATAGCGCTTCAACTTTAAAAATCTATTTTTACAATATGTTAACCCTAGCTAACGTTATAAATTCATCGCATATTGTTGTTTTGCGAAAGTTACCGATTTTGAACAGCGTTATACTGTAACTGTGGTGAGCCATTGAATCAAAACAAAAGCCTCACTTCTCGCGATTGTTTTCTTCAATAATTGCAACTTCATCAATAGGATTTGAGCAAATGGAGAAGTCTAAATTGGAATCTCTCGACTGATCGATATCAATTGTTGTTGAATTAAACGATAGTGATAAGGAAGATTCGTCTCTATAATACATTTCTATATCAAATCAAATCAAAAAGTCAATTGAAATAACAAAAATAAGCAGCAAATGAATATTTATAAATTCGTTTCTTTACACCAGTAAAGGAAAAATTTTACTGACAAAGAGATGAGAATAAGGAAAATGTTGAAATGATAAAATCTTTTGTTGATCAGAGATTAATAAATACTGATAAGCACTACTTTCTCAGTAATAATTTTTTTTCAATATATATTTACAAATAGCCTATATGTCATATTTACTTCTCTAATACAAAAGAAAACTACTCTCGGGAAGCAATAAGCCATGATATCAAATCACTGACTAATAATCTAAACAATAATATACAATAATATAAAAATAACAATAATATACGAGTCTTTAGGATACTACGACTTAATATCATTATTTAGATTACCTTTCAGTCCTTATGAATAATTTTAGATTTTTGTTTTAAAATTTTAATTTATATAACTGCTATAAACTGCTAATTTACATTGCACATAATATTAAACTTTCGGCTCATGCTCCTGAGTAAAGGTATTACTAAAAAATGCAAGTAATGCTGGCGACCACTGTATTACCATCGCCAAATGATAGCCAGCAAAAAACTTCTGAATGTATTAACAGCCAGTGGGGCTAACCTGACTCGAAATGGTAATGGTAAGTGCTTAACATTTAATCACTAAATGATAAATGAAAACTAAATATTAATCTTGACGGAAAAAATAACAAAGAAATGGGAATAGGTATGAAACGTATGTCTGGAAAGGAAGCAGTAAATAAATTAAAAGAAACCTCGACATTAGCTCGATATGATATATGGACATAGACGCCAGAAAAAGCGGCTTTTACAAATTTTGGATACAGCAATGGACAAAGACGTGGAAGTACCTCAACTTTGCAGCGGTACAAGCTGTAAGAAGAATGAAAAGGCCTTAATTTCTCATTGTTCATAGACCGGAATGGATCAATATATATGTCATTTCGGTTTTTGGTAATTCGTGCGCAATTTTCCTTCCAATTAGTTTTTTCCGGTCAATTTCACTATTGAAAATCTATCAATTATAATCATAAAAAGCGTGCTGAAAAAAATTGAAAAGACTGAGAAATATTGGAAATGACCATTTATGTAGAAAGAATTCATCATGATGGTCGAATAGCAAGTGCTTCGATTGGCTAGGACGGACCCACAACAGGTTCAATTCTTGCTCACTGACGAAAATGGAACTGCCATAAAAATGAAATCTGGGAGAATCCACCTGTAGTCCTATCTTCGAAATGATTCTCTGCGTTTCTCTCGGTGGAAAGATGCAATCCATACAGCCAGTGAGTTTGCCTAACATATTTCAAAAACATGGCAGATGGGAAAATATGTTTGGGACGAAATGACCGTAAATAAAATGAAGAGAAAAATGATAAATGAATAGATAGAAATTTCATCTTATAAAAAAAGTAAATAGACGATAACACTGCACAAACAAATCGCAATGGCAACTGAAGGACATAAATAGATTTGCGATGACTGAACAAGATAATGGACAAATTAAGGATGGAAACAGGAAAACGGACGCATACATAGAGAGACAAAATATGGAAACATGGAGGTGACAAGTGAAAACGGACAAAACTGAAGATAAGGAATGTTGGAATGTGGAACAAGAAGGCGAAAAAATTTTTGTGAATCATGTTCAGCAAATACCTATGCATTTGTTAGATAAAGTACAATGTGTTGTAATATGAATATTGATCAAGTTTCGCGGAATAACATATTTCTGTGGAAGACCTTAAATTGACGGGTCACGAAATCCTTCCAATGTATACAGGTAATACAAGAAATATGGCAACGAACATGGTGGAAGAGGTGGGTTATAATAGATAATCACCTAAGAAGTTTGGAGTGCACGTCCAGCAGCAGTTAATCTCATTCGGGTGAAACCAGCCTACTACCAACAAACTAGCTCTCTAGCAAAAGCTTCTTATTCTACTAAATGCCATTGGAGGAAATCTGACTACAAACAGCAAGAACCAACTATACAAACAAAAAAAAGGAAATGAACAATGTGGTATTCTAAACAAATTTTAAAAAGTGGAAAAGAAAAATGAATCCATTGTGGTTTGCAATAATTTCGATTAATTTGAACTGAATTATACCTATAAACCATCAAATTTTTTTTGATCAATGATAATGGAAGTAACCTTGAGGATCTTAAAGGTCGAATGAGAGATATGATCAATTCGGAGCTATTAAACAATTATCTACCGGCTGTGATATTATAAACGACTATCAGTCATATCAGCCATATCTTCCATTTGATTCACTTACCACCATCCATGAGAACTGCCACTTTAGTAAAGAATATAAAATAATTAAATTGTTTTCCAAGGATTTTAATGAAAGAAAGTAAATGAAGGAGGAGGAGGCATATGCTTCGGGCAAGGCAAAAAAATGTTTCGACCTTTTCTGGGTTCGACTTCCGCTATTTCCGCAAAAAACATGCCAATAATTCGGGCAGTGATGAGGACGCACACTTGCGCACTCTTGGTGAAACAGCCAATGAAGACAGCCAATCGAGGAAAGATGAAAGAGGACATGGCGATCTTTACAAGATATTTTGTCAGCGACGAACCGACGAAACACAGAGCGACAATAAAGCGAACAGAAAAGAATATTCCGAACAACAATGAAAAAATTATTCTTTACTTCAAACTAGATTAACGCGAAAATGTTAAATTTAGTGAAATTATTAACACTTCCTCAATTCCCTCAAAGCGAAACACGGATTCCTAAGGCATTTGGCCAGGAAGAGTTTCAGTTGCACTTCTGCACGTTTTAGCACTTTTCAGCTGAAGGAAAGGTCGAGGAAAGACGTTTCCGTTCCAAATCTCCGTCCCTTACTTTACAAAATTTAAATATTACCATTCTATTATATTAAATAGAAAATAATCTTTTGGGTATTTCTTTTAAAAAAATAAAACAAACAATGGATTATTTTCGAGGATAAATTCAGACTGATCGCGATCGAGGTCGTTCATTGTATTCTGAAAAGTTTGCATTTATTATCAATTGCTATGACTCGCATTTAAATAAATACTTGAAAGGGTCAGCGAACGGTTCAAAGTTCGCTAAAAGTTGGAAAAGAAATTTACGTGTACTGTGAGAGAATGAAACAACAAATATGGAATAAGTCAGCAACATTCCTTCTTCAAATGTTTGTAGAAAAATATGACTCACAAAATCAATCTCATAACGATTTATCGAAGAACTGTTATTGATTGAACTGGTATCTGAATCGGAATCGATCGCTCGAAGATCAGGTAGATCGAAATATTTCAGTTCATTATGAGTCGATGATCCATTTTTATTTAGATCAATAACTGTTGAAGCGCAATGGGTTATTGCTGGTGACAGTGGCGACGGTGAAGCGCAATGAATTGCTGGCAGTAATAACGTCGTCGAGCAATCACCGCTCTTTTCACTATTAATTTCATCGCTTTCTTCCTTTAAAAGGTCACAGGTCACTAGTGCATTATTTGTCTAATTTTTGGATGCACACACAGGGTGTATATTTTTGTCTTTATTCTTCTCAGTGAAAGCAGAATCTATAATCAGAAAAAAAAAATAATTAAGCTCGTTCCGCTGGCTGTTACACCTGGAAATTTTCGCTAGGGAATCATTTGACGATAGGATGATAGAGGTGGGTCGTCGGTGCCATTCGCATTTCTTTTATAGCAGTTTTACTTCTGAAGAGAGCAATAGCCGATTGTTTGCATCTTATTTACTGGTGAATTATCAGAAAATAAATTTATTTAACTGCATTTAAATTAATTTAAATTAATTTAATCAATTTTGGTTCAAATATATTTAAATTCGTCGAAAAAATTTTGAAGTTTGCAAATTATAACTGAAGCTTTAAAATTAAGGAAATTTACAAAAGAATTAATCGCACTTTATTAAATTATTAAAATTATTAAATTCTTAGAGTTGAGTGGTGCGATGGCGTGAAGTGGTCGTTACAGTAGCTTCTTTTCCAAATTACAGATTTGATTCCAAACTTCATTTTACAGCTGCTAACATTCTACTCGAATAAAATTATAAAATTATATTTGTGATGTTAATAAAATTTACAGTACCTCAGGTATTGACTTTAAATACCGAATATTCTCATTATTTAATAATTTATCAAAATATGGATCATTGCTATCGTCATCACTTGTATGTTCTAATTGATAATTATCGGTTGGTAGAAGGGCCTTTAATAATTCTATAGAAGGTTGTTGCTGTTGACGTTGTAGCTCTTTGTCTTGTTGCTGTTTTCTTTGCATTACTTTTCCATGGTCATTGTCCTTATTTAGAAGAAACTTCCATGCGAATATAATTGTCTAAAAAATTAATAAATTGTCATATGATTTCTGCAATAAATAAAATAGAAGTTTTTGGATAATTTTGATGTTTTGGTAGCAAACCAGTTATCTCTCTTCTTATAATTTTTCTTTATATAATTATATAATTTATATAATTATATTCTTTATATAATTTTTCTTTTGTTTATAAAATGAATCGAAAAAAATTGTGATTTTTAAAAAGAGATTTATAACTGATTCACTATTTCAATTTCTGGCGGAATCCAAAAAAAATCAAGATTACACTACAATAAGATTTATTCAACAATCATTTGCTAGACAAAAATTGGAGCTTTCTTCTCCCCTTCCTCCTATAGAACTTGTCTTTAAAAAGCCCAAGTGGTGCTAAGGTACTTCTATTCTCAAATTGAATGGCTGCCAAGATTAGAGCATTCTAATTACAAATGCAAGAAACCACATTAAACAGATTTCTTAGTTAAATTTATTTATTTTAAATTTAAATTAAATTTGCCAAAATGAACTAAATTAAATTTTAATTTTATATTGTAATTTAACCACATTGTCATTCTGGAATTTTTTTTATAGAGCATTCACCATTACTGATTAGACTTGCTCCGCTGCCTTGTCTAGACAAATATGCCAAGGAATCCCTTGGCGACAGAAATATAGGTGAATCGCTAACATTACCTGGATTTTTGTATAGATTTATTCCTACCGAGAGTAAAACATGAGAAATTCTATCACTCTTCTGATTACGAATCTAGTCAGGAATGTTGGTCATTATCTTTATCTTTACTAGTTCAATTATTTAAATGAAACAATGAAACTAAAATTATATTAATAATTGATTAGATATATATTAAATTTCAAGCTAAGTACCAGATTATTCTATATAATTATAATCATTAGTAATTTTATATTATTTCATTGATTTCTTAATTAAATTAAGTTAAAAATGCATCATGAAATAAATATATACAATATAAATGATTTGTCAAATGATCGTGGAAAAACTATAATAATGCTCATAAAAATGGCAAAAATTTATGAAAATGATAAGTATTTAAAGGTAATTTTTCATGCTGTTAAAGTGTAGTGAAAATAGAAGCATTCGGTATATGACTGATGTCAATTAGCAGGAAAAAAAGCCAAAATATCGACCATTACATTATTCAGTTATAAATTAATGCCACAGGAAATCGAACCCAGCAAAATTATTTTGATGTTGACCTTGAAAATATACGTACTAATAAAAATAGGCTATCCAAAGATTTTTTTTATAGATGTCACTACCATTTTCATTATCACTTATTATCACCATCTACTTCAGAACGTTAAATATTGAAATGCTAAATATTGTAGCAAAAAGTAGAGAATTATTTTGCAGTGAATCGATAAAATACAATCGAGATGTCAATGAGGCTCAAGGTCAAATACCAATATGACCTTTAATATTTATTGTTCAAAGGTAATTTTTCTGCAAAAAGATTATAAACGATAGAGAAAATGTGTTCATGGATGTGAAAAAGTTTTAATGACAAATTCATTCAAGCTCATTTCGGAACAAAATCAAGGTCAAATAATTTGGAAATCCTTTTTTTAGTTTATTTTTTAATCGGCGATATTCTAGAAAATATGGAATTTTGTTAAAAATAGGCGATTTTGCTTTAAAAAAATGAATTTTGACATTTCGATTGACTTTTACAGCCAAAAAGAGAAAGAAGAGAAATGATCATTATCTATAAAATGCTACAAAAGCAAATATTTTGGCATGAAAAAGGAAGAAAATGAACGATTGATAAAAATGTTTTCCTTTTTCTTTAAATCACGCCTGTAAAAATTGTAAAATGGGCTTGAATGAATTTTCAAAAAATTTTTTAGTAAAATCTATGGAAATTTTAGCGATTTATTACCACTTTTTGATAAGCAATTAAAAAGCAATTAAAACTGGTGAAGTCTCTTGATAAATGTGCCAAAGGGTCTCTTGGCGATAGAAGTGAATCACCAGCATCAAACGGATTTTTGGATAGGTTTGCTTTACCTCAGATCAAACAAATTTGGTTTTTGAGTTATCAACTCAAAATTAACTTTTATTCCTCTATCGAAAGAAATATTTGGAGAAATATTTATGAAGAACGACTTTTTTATTTTTTTCTCGAATGTTTCAAGAGCAAATAAATACTCAGTATAACAAATTAGACCACTCTTTATTCTCTGCTCTTTAAAGTTCTGGTAAAGTTCTGTAAGTACTGGTAGATTTATCGATCCGGTGGGCTATAATATAGTTAAAAGTTCTCTGCCAGCGAGTACCTGGCTAAAGAAGTACAGCTGGATCGCCAGCATCCATTCCGGTCAAGAACAGGATTTCGCTTCTCAGCACAATAATCTGAATCTTTATGCACTCCGCCGTGGCTCTTCAAAAAAGGAAAAGGAAAGTGGAAGCGAAGAAAAAACTTACAATAAAAGCAGAAAATATGGTGTTAAAAAATTCATGAAACGGTTCAATAACACGTGTTCGAGTTGTGAGTAATGACCGATTATCCATATATGAAAACTAAGGAAGAGTCTCAGGATAGAATTTTTATCCAGTGGCCGATTTTATGATATTTATAACCTATTAATAGAAATATATAATGATAGAAGTGGATGATGGCCTTGTAATAAAAAATATTGATAACGTGGTAGGAAAGAAAGATTAATTTAAAGATAAGATGAAAGACGGTGAGAAATGAATAAAATATAGGTCAAAGCCAATAAGAAAATTGAATCAGAAGAAGGTGGAAAGAAAGTTTAAAAAGGATTTCAACCTGCAGAAGACAACAAGTTGGCATTCAAATGAGGAAACCCAAGATACAGGATTCGACAAATTAATATATATATATATATACATCAAATACCGAAAAATACCAAAAAATAAAATTAATAACACAGAAGAAATAAATCTAAGCGACAGCATCCTAGCAACAAGACTTTCAATTATATTATTCAGTGTCTTTCATACCTCTTCCTCTTCTCATTTCTGGTTTGGCTGGCTTCATTGATCACTGCAGTAAACCCTTTAGCAGGAGTTAATTGGGAAAAAATATAGGTGGATCGTCAGCACATCCCGAGTGCACTTCTAGCGATGAGGCCTACTCCATCAAAGAGCAACAGTCTACTCTTGTTGTTCCGACTCAACTATACTTTAGCAGTCCTTCGAGTCTTTCATGAATTCTCCTCAAACTTTTATCAATCCTCAGTCTCACCCTCAAATTTGTTCAATTCAGATCAGATAAAGAAACTTCGCTTAAGCAATGGATATCGAAATGATTGAAGGACAAAATTAAATTGAACTTTTTTTTGCTTATTGCGTTTATTTTCTTTACTTCGTGGTTTAATTACTATCTTATTTACTCGCTTTAGTCTTTGAGATGGCGTTTCGCAAGCAATTTCACAAATGTTTTTTTTAAATCTATTTTGTACAATAAAAGAAATGAAAGATTATTTTGAATGAATCAAATAATGAAGTGAAAGTAATCAAACTTTTGATCTGAATTTTTCAAAAACCATTCACCATTTGATGAATTTTTTGAATTTCTCGAATTTCTTCGTTTCATTCTAAATTTATTTTGACATAAATTTACTGAAAGCATCATTTAAAAATATACTTCCATACTCCACACAAATATTTGATTTTAGCAAATTCAGAAGCCAGGCAGTGATTTGAAGTACAGATGAGCCACCAGCATAACCCTGGCTTTTTTATGAAATTTACTTCTGTTAGGAGCTAAGCCCTTGTCTTCCAACACGATAACCTGAGACATTAAGCTGTCCTGCTCCAGTTTCAGGGAATTTAATATTTATTTATCACAGCCAAATAACACTCATATTCCTCCTTCTAACAATAATCGAAATTTTTGGTTCAGTTGATTCTAATTACTGCAAATAAGGCCCTTTCGTCCAGAGAATCTCTTGGGACAGATGTGCTTGTTGAATCCTAAGAAACACCTGGATTTTATTTTGAAGATTAGTATCCTCAATATGTAGTATTCGATACTCAAGCAATAACCTAAACTCCTCGGCTATTTTGGCCATAAAGCCATAAAAAATTCTACCTTTACCAAATTTGTACAAGGGCCTTATTTGTAGTGCAAAGCATATTATGAAAATAGAATTATTTGATAATATTATAGATGATGTAACATATGGTATAAATGTAATTATAAAAATAGCCTTTATTGACCTTCCGTGATTCTTTATTGATAATTACTTAAATCGCAGGAAATTGAACATCCTCAACTCTAACAAATCTTCTAATAAATCGAGGATAAGAATATGACCATTAGTGAGATTATTCACGCAAAAATGCCCCTTTGGTTAAATTTATTTCCAGTTAAGTATGATTCAACAGGAACGTCATCAAAAGATATATTGATTGCTTCGACTGAGTCAAGAATTATGGAACTGTTTTGCTCAGTTAAAGATGCCATTAAAATAAAAAAATTCGGATACCCATCTGTGATACTATATCTGTGATACTATTACCAAATGACTTTCAAGCGTACCGCCCTATCAATTCAACCAGAAACAGCGAATACTATTAGAGAAAAACTAGAATTAAGCGCAATGACCACTGCAAGATAGTCCTTTAAAAGGAAACCATTTCTGGAACAGGAGTTTCTCACCTATTAGGATATTTTTGGGTTTAAAATAAAATATTTGCTTAAAAAAATAAATGGGGAAAGTTGAACAGAAAAAGCAATTTAGTGTCCCGAACTATCAAAACTTACCTGTAAATTCCTCATTTCTTTCTCCATTTCATCTTTTAAGAGCATCTCTCGTTAGGATATAAGATCACCTTTTTACTTTTTGTTGCCAAACTGCTATGCACAGCAATTTTTCCCAACTAATGACTCCAACGAAAAACAAATTTCTCCTGATATTCATTTTCCGTAGTAGTAATCATAAACACGTCTTTGTTA